ACAGATAACGTGAATAGGCCTGCATACATTAAGAAATGAAATATATTGTTAAAAACCTACCCACAAAGAAAATTCCAGGCTCATATCGCTTCACTGGTGAATTCTGCTAAACACCTTAGGAATAAATAAAACCAGTTCTACACAAACTTTTCCAGAAAACTGAAGGAGAAAATACTTCCCAGCTCATTCCATGAGGCCAGCATTATCCTAATACCAAAACCAGATAAAGACATAAAAAGTAATGAAGGGACTTCCCTGGTGGTGCAGTGGATGGGACTCCATGCTCCCAGTGCGGGGGGCCCGGGTTCGGTCCTTGGTCGGGGAGCTGGATCCCACATGCATGCCGCAACTAGGAGTTCTCACGCCATAACTGAGGAACCCACCTGCCGCAACTAGAACCCAGCACAACCAAATAAATAAATTAATTAAAAAAAAAAAAAAGTAATGAAAACTACAGACCAATATCCCTCCTAAATATAGATGCAAAAAATTCTAAACAAAATTTTGGTAAATTAAATCCAACAATATGTAAAAAAGGTAACACATCATAACCAAGTGGGGTCTCTCCCACTTTTGTTTTAACATTTAAAAATCAATCTGTGGGACTTCCCTGTGGCACAGTGGTTAAGAATCCGTCTGCCAATGCAGGGGACACGGGTTCGATCACTGGCCAGGAAGATACCACATGCCGCGGAGCAACTAAGCCCATGTGCCACAACTACTGAGACTGCGCTCTAGAGCCTGCGAGCCACAACTACTGAGCCCCCATGCCACAACTACTGAAGCCCATGCGCCTAGAGACTGTGCTCTGCAACAAGAGAAGCCACCACAATGAGAAGCCCGCGCACTGCAATGAAGAGTAGCTCCAGCTTGCCGCAACTAGAAAAAGCCCACACGCAATATGACCCAATGCAGTGGGTCAGCAATGAAGACCCAACGCAGTCAAAGTAAGTAATGAATAAATAAATAAATTTTAAAAAATTAAAAAACCAAACTGTGTAATTCACAATATTAATAAACTAAAAAAGAAAAACCATATGATCATCTCAATAAATACAGAAAAAGCATTTGACAATATTCAATAACCATTTCTGATTTTTAAAAAATTCTCAGCAAACTAGGAGTAGAAGCAAATATTCCCAACGTGATTCAAAGCATTTATCTGGTAGAGAATTTATATCCAGAATAAAAGACATCCATATTGGAAAGGAAGAAATACAAAAGTCTTTACATGATTACATGTTTACATGATTCTCTATTAGAGAAAATCGAATGGAATCTACAAAAAAGCTACCAAACGTATGAGTTTAGCAAAATTGCTCGATACACGATTAATATGCAAAAATCATTTCTATCTCTCTAACCTATCAATATACAATCAGAAGCTGAAATTTTAAAAACTATACAATTAACTCTTACAATGCAATAATTTTTTAAAAACCCAATTTTAAAATGGGCAAAAAATCTGAATAGACATTTTTCCAGAGAAGACATAGAAATGGCCAAAAAGCACATGAAAAGATGCTCAACATCATTAGCTATTGAGAAAATGCAAATCAAAAACACAATGAGATACCACTTCACACCCACTAGCATGGCCATAATAAGAAAGACAGATAATTACAAGTGTTGGCAAGGACATGGAGAAATTGGAAGACTAATAGCGTGCTCGTGGGCAAATTGTGCAGCCACTTTGGAAAAGAGTTTGGCAGTTAAATATAAAATATTAAGCACAGAGTTACCATATGATTCAGAAATGCCATTCGTAGGTATATACCCAAGACAAATAAAAACATGTTCACACAAAAACTTGTACACAACTGCTTACAGGCACACCATTAACAATAGTGAAAATAAACTGAAACAACCCAAATATCCATCAGCTGATGAATGGATAAACAAAATGTGGTATATCCCATACACTGAAATACTATTCAGCAATAAAAAGAAATGAAGGACTGATAAATGCTACATGTATGACCTTGAATACTTTAGGCTGAGTGAAAGAAGTCAGACCCCAAAGACCATGTATTGTATGATTTCATTGATATGAAACATACAGAATAAGGAAATATAGAAACAGAAAGTAGCTTAGCTGTTGCCTAGGGCTGGGAAGGATGGGAGAGTTGGGGGTGACGAATAAGGGGACCATAGGCAACAAAAGTGTTCTAAAATTGATTATGGTGATGGTCTCTAAATATAATTGTAAGCTTTAAATGGGTGAATTGTATGTTGAGTGAACTATATCTCAATGAAGCTCTTAAAGAAACAAGCAAGCAAAGTTGGTGTGGTCTCCAAGGGGTAGGATTCCCAGGAATTTGTTCTGAGTCCTACATGAACCTACACGAAGCCATGGATGAGACCCAGTTGATGTTTCCTCCCCTTTCAACCTCTCCATCCCTCCTGTTCCCTCCATTACAAGTCTCAGAAGCCTAGATATTAGTTAGTAACTCACCACCTGAGCCCTCAGGAAGGTAGGTGGCAGCTTCAGATTCTCCTCAGCACAGTGCCTCCAAGGAACTTGCTGGCAGGCCCTCACAGAGCAGGAGCCACGTCAGTTCAGCCACAAAGCAGGATTCCCAGAGGCTGGGCGAGGCAACTGCACGCCTCTTCTTTCCCACAGGTCAGTGGTCTGGAGGGTGAGCCGTGCTGGCTGCCAAGCCAAGATTACAGGGAAGGACGCCTGCTTCCACCCCCCCAAATACAGTGGAGCATGTCTGCCCCAGCCTGACCCATGGCTGACTGGGAGAGGGTGGGAGTGGGGCATCACGGGATGGAGGTGGGGGTGGGGTGTTGCCTCCAACATGCTGGGACCAGAGAGGGGAGCCCATGGCGCCTGCAAGAGTTGCAAAGGTGGCACACGAGAGGGGTGGCATTCTAACAACTTCTTGAAGCTGGAGCAGGCTGCCCCACCTACCTGCATGGCTGCCCAGAATCCTTCCCAGGCAAAAGCCTTGCCTCTTCGGTAAGCAAAGAAGAAATCGAGAAATGCCAGGCCATCTGGGAGCCACTGGGAGAGCACCTGCCCGGGTCCTCCTTCCGAATTCTAGGTGCTGTTTTACACAGCAGGGTTCCAGCCACCTCCTCCTTCCAGGAGCTCAGAGGGAGCAGGGATGGCTACCCTGAGGTGCTGGGACACTTGGCCCAGGGCAGGATCAGGCCCTCCACCCCCAAACCAACACCAGGGTCTTCCTGGACTCTGGTGAAGTAGCCCTGCTGTCACCAGGACACAGGCAGCCCCAGAGTTGCTGGCACCGGTGGCAGGGGACTGGCTCTGAAATGCCAAACACAGGCATTAGGAACACTGGAAGGAACTGGGAACTGGGGGACATTTTGCACAGAGAGAACAAGTTTTTTTTTTTACATCTTTACTGGAGTATAATTGCTTTACAATGGTGTGTTAGTTTCTGCTTTATTTTTTTTATTTTTATTTTTTACATCTTTATTGGAGTATAATTGCTTTACAATGGTGTACTAGTTTCTGCTTTATAACAAAGTGAATCAGTTATACATATACAAATATCCCCATATCTCTTCCCTCTTGCGTCTCCCTCCCTCCCACCCTCCCTATCCCACCCCTCTAGGTGGTCACAAAGCACCGAGCTGATCTCCCTGTGCTATGCGGCTGCTTCCCACTAGCTATCTATTTTACGTTTGGTAGTGTACATATGTCCATGCCTCTCTCTCACTTTGTCACAGCTTACCCTTCCCCCTCCCCATATCCTTAAGTCCATTCTCTAGTAGGTCTGTGTCTTTATTCCTTTCTTACCCCTAGGTTCTTCATGACATTTTTTTTTCTTAAATTCCATATATATGTGTTAGCATACGGTATTTGTCTTTCTCTTTCTTACTTCACGCTGTATGACAGACTCTAGGTCCATCCACCTCATTACAAATAGCTCAATTTCGTTTCTTTTTATGGCTGAGTAATATTCCATTGTATATATGTGCCACATCTTCTTCATCCATTCATCCAATGATGGACACTTAGGTTGTTTCCATCTCCTGGCTATTGTAAATAGAGCTTCAATGAACATTTTGGTACATGACTCTTTGAATTATGGTTTTCTCAGGGTATATGCCCAGTAGTGGGGATTGCTGGGTCATATGGTAGTGTTATTTGTAGTTTTTTAAGGAACCTCCATACTGTTCTCCATAGTGGCTGTACCAATTCACATTCCCACCAGCAGTGCAAGAGTGTTCCCTTTTCTCCACACCCTCTCCAGCATTTATTGTTTCTAGATTTTTTGATGATGGCCATTCTGACTGGTGTGAGATGATATCTCATTGTAGTTTTGATTTGCATTTCTCTAATGACTAATGATGTTGAGCATTCTTTCATGTGTTTGTTGGCAATCTGTATATCTTCTTTGGAGAAATGTCTATTTAGGTCTTCTGCCCATTTTTGGATTGGGTTGTTTTTTTGTTATTGAGCTGCATGAGCTACTTGTATATTTTGGAGATCAATCCTTTGTCAGTTGTTTTATTTGCAAATATTTTCTCCCATTCTGAGGGCTGTCTTTTGGTCTTGTTTATGGTTTCCTTTGCTGTGCAAAAGCTTTGAAGTTTCATGGTCCCATTTGTTTATTTTTGTTTTTATTTCCATTTCTCTAGGAGGTGGGTCAAAAAGGATCTTGCTGTGATTTATGTCATAGAGTGTTCTGCCTATGTTTTCCTCTAAGAGTTTGATAGTGTCTGGCCTTACATTTAGGTCTTTAATCCATTTTGAGCTTATTTTTGTGTATGGTGTTAGGGAGTGATCTAATCTCATACTTTTACATGTACCTGTCCAGTTTTCCCAGCACCACTTATTGAAGAGGCTGTCCTTTCTCCACTGTACATTCCTGCCTCCTTTATCAAAGATAAGGTGTCCATATGTGCGTGGGTTTATCTCTGGGCTTTCTATCCTGTTCCATTGATCTATATTTCTGTTTGAGAGAACAATTTCTGATCAACCCTTTCCAATGATTTGTAGCTTGTACTCAACCATTCACAGGAGATTGTTTCAAGGACTTTATTTTAAATAGATATAGAGTCTACTCAGTGACAAAATTCATTTATTGCATTCTTTCCATTTAATAGCTGGGATTCAAAGTGTTAAAGATTTGATTTACCCAAGTGAAAAAAAGACGAAAGAATCATTTGTAAGCGCCGTTTCTGAAGAATATGCCTAATGTTTCAAAGTTACTGTTTTGTGCCTTTAGGTTACAGTACTAACATCGTACTCCAAGTAAAGTGTAAGACACAGGTCTAACTAACAACCACATGAAACTCGGGCAACAACCATCCTGAAACAGCTGTAACATGCGCATCAGCCTCCAGGCCTCGTGTGCTCACGCTCACGGAGGACTTGAGTTAGGACATTCTACCTTTCCAGAAACACAGTGGCTCTGAATGCCTCAACCACTCCTTGTGGTAGAGGGGTTAAAGGATCCTTTTTTGAAGTTGGCTTCTCCATGGAAGAGGAGAATGGCTTAAGGACATTCTGAAATTTAGAAACAAAATCAAACAAAACCCTTTTGCCAAAAAGTCTCTGTCCTCTGCAAAGCTGGTGAATGTGTGGATGCCAGTATTTTTAGAGAGAGATGTTTTAGGGGCAGGAGGTAACTGACCAAGTGAGGATGCTTTCTAAGGTTTTTTTTTTTTTCCTAGAAAGGCAGAAAAGAATAAAAATCAGTTAAACATAATATTTAGAATGTAACATCTTCACTTGGGCAATTATGAATATGAAATCACCATGGCAACAAAAGTACCATCTTCTGATGACTGCACTGGGAAAGTCAACAAACCCACACTAATTCCTGTTCCGCTTATTTCTTGGCTCGAGCTCAGCACTTTCAGTGGACCTCATGCGACGATTCTGTCTGGGACTTATTTCTGTGTCTTGAAGATCATATCTGAAAATGGAAGAAACAAAATGGCAGCTTAGAAAATGATGATCACTATTACCCCACAGCAGCTTCTAGTTTACAAGCCCCTTCCCGTGTGTTTTTATGTGATCCTCCAAATAGCCTTCTACTCCACTGACAAGTCTGCTATGATAATTATTATGACTTTTATTATTTCCACTGCACAACTGAGAAAACAGGTGACTTAGCAAAGATCACAGATCATAAGTGACAGAGTTAGGAACTGAACTCCTTTCTTCTGAATCAGAATCGAGCAGCTTTACGCTTCTGCTCCAGAGGCAGAAAGCTGCAGAAGATGTGCTTCCATCCTAACAACAAGGTGAAGCCAGAGAGACGAACAAAATCATAACTTATCATGATCCTGTCAGACAGCTGAGGTTGTAAGGGAACCAAGGAAACAAAATCCCCTCCCAAGAGGGATGAGCCACACGCATCCTTTCACTTCGGGCAGAGCACTGGGGAAAGGGGTGGCTGCCGCACAAGCAGGTGGGAAGACGAGAGCTGACATTTTCTGGATTTTGCAGCACAGCCTGGTGCTGCGGGCCCCCGACACTGGAGCCTCGGCAGCGCTCCTTGAGACACTGACAGAGGGCAGGACACTGAAGAGGGCCCACGTGGGGCACAGGGGTAAAGCAGGGGATGGGGAGTGGCAGGGGTCAGGCTCTGCCTGATTTCCCAGGTTTGTCAGTGGAGTAGAAGGCTATTTGGAGGATTAAATGAAAACGCATGGTAAGGCACTCATAAACTAGAAAATGATGTAGAGAATAATAAGAGATGATTTAGAGTATATGGGAGGGGCTTCCCTGGTGGCGCAGTGGTTAAGAATCTGCCTGCCAATGCAGGGGACACAGGTTTGAGCCCTGGTCTGGGAAGATCCCACATGCCATGGAGCAACTAAGCCCATGTGCCACAACTACTGACCCTGCACTCTAAAGCCCACGAGCCTCAAGTACTGAGCCTGTGTGCCACAACTACTGAAGCCTGCACGCCTAGAGCCCGTGCCCCACAAGAAGAGAAGCCACTGCAATGAGAAGCACTGCAACGAAGAGTAGCCCCCGCTCATCGCAACCAGAGAAAGCCTGTGCGCAGCAACAAAGACCCAATGCAGCCAAAAATAAATAAATAAATAAAAATTAAAATAAATGAAGTATATGGGAAGATGTGCATAGGTTAAATGCAAATATTACACCATTTTATATATGGGACTTGAGTATCTATGGATTTTGGTAACTGCAGCAGTGGGGGGCAGGGTCCTGGAACCAACCCTCATGGATTCTGAGGGATAACTGTAATCTCAATATTGAGTCTTCCTTACACCTGCTCAAATCTGTTGTTGAGCCTCTTAGTGAAATTTTCATTTCAGCTATTTTGTTTTTCAACTCCAGAATTTCTATTTTTAAAAAATAATTTCTGGGCTTCCCTGGTGGCGCAGTGGTTGAGAGTCTGCCGGCTGCTGCAGGGGACATGGGTTTGTGTCCCGGTCCGGGAGGATCCCACATGCCGCGGGGCGGCTGGGCCCGTGAGCCATGGTTGCTGAGCCTGCGCGTCCGGAGCCTGTGCTCCGCAACAGGAGAGGCCACAGCAGTGAGAGGCCCACGTACCACAAAATAAATAAATAATTTCTATTTCTTTATTGGTATCCTCTATTTGGTGAGACACTGTTCTCATACATCCCTTTAGTCCTTTGATCAGAGTCAAAACAGCTGATTTCATTGGTTGCTTCTCCCCTGCCCCGGTGTGTATAGGCCACAGTTTCTTGTTTCTTTGTTTACGTCTAATATTTTGTTGAAAACTGGACATTTTTACCAATATACTGTGGCAACTATGGGAATTAGATTTTCCTCCTTCCTCAGCGTCTGTTCATGTTGGTGTCTGCTGCTGTTTGTTAAGTGACTTTCTGAGCTCCTGTAGATATACATTCTTTGCTGTGTGAGACCACTGACGTGTCTGCTACATAAGCTTAGTGGTCAGCTAATGATTAGACAGAACTTTCCCTAATCGCCTGGAACCAATATAACACAGAAGCCCTTGTCACAATCAGTCTTTGCCAAGGGACTCTGTGTCTTGGGGCATGCATTCAGCACTTGGGGGACAACTCCGCCTTAGCCTCTCCTTTCAGCTTGCATGGAGCCTCATAGTCAGCTCAAGGTGAGAGATTAGGACCCTCTCAGGTCTCTCCTGCGCACACACAGAGCCCTAAGCATGCGTGTGACCTTCCAGAGCCACAGGAATACATCAGAGCTGGTCAAAGCCCCGATGGAAATCTTATTTTCCAGCCTTTCCTTTAAGCTTTTTGCTTAACATATTGTTTGCCCCAACTGTTATCTACCTCACATGGCTATGAAGTTAATCAATTGTCTCTAATTGTTTTAAACAAACACCTCAGGGGAAAAAGAGGCTTTTCGCACTGGGTGAGCTCCAAGTCAGGTAGACAGTCTTGCAAGTGGGAGTCCTCCAGGAAACCACCAGACAGATCAAATAATAATTCTCTGGGAATGAGGCTGTGAAGGCGCTCCAACTCCATTCTGCCCTTTCTGCGGGTTGCCAGGCTGCTGGTCCTCATCACGACAGCACACTACTGGCTCCCAAGGCCACTGCCGGGCTAGAGAGAGGGGGATGGGAACAGGGGAAGTCAAATCACCACAAAGGCCACTGTTCTAACTAAAATTCAGATATTTTTCTTGAAGAAATGCTCCTTGGATTGTTGCTGTCTTTGGTTAATTTTCAGTTTTGAAAAAGTTGATTCTGCCAAGTTTTGTCAATTTTGTCATTGCTTTTACGCAGAGAATTTCCAGACGTCCTTATTTCACAACTCTCCTGAATGTTTTCTCCTTTATCTTTTTAATTTTTTTCCCCCAGCTTTTAACTCATGGTCTTAATATCTCTAAACTTTCACAAGGCAAATTTCTCATCTTTTTTTTCCCTAAATAAATAAATTTATTTATTTACTTATTTTTGGCTGCGTTGGGTCTTCGTTGCTGCACACGGGCTTTCTCTAGTTGCAGCGAGCAGGGGCTACTCTTCGTTGCGGTATGCGGGCTTCTCATTGCGGTGGCTCCTCTTTGTTGCAGAGCACGGGCTCTAGGCGCGTGGGCTCAGTAGTTGTGGCTCACGGGCTTAGTTGCTCCGCAGCGTGTGGGATCTTCCCGGACCAGGGCTTGAACCCGTGTCCCCTGCATCGGCAAGCGGATTCTTAACCACTGCGCCACCAGGGAAGTCCCAAATTTCTCATTTTAATATTTTATTGCCATTTATTTATTTGGCTTCTGGGTTTGTTTTTTTTAATGGGATGTTCCCCCTTATATTTAACTTCTATAAAATTACTGTTTCTTTGCTCTCTTACCTTGTTTTTAATTTCCTTCTAAAATTTTAAGTAATGTGTTTCTCCCATATTTCCCCTCTTTGATTTGCCTTCACAATAGCTGGCAACAAACATGGCTATAGTGTTAGTGGAAGAAGCAGCCTCTACCATAAGCATGGGCTTGAAGCAGAGTCCCTAGCAAGCAAGGATCTCAAGGTTCTCCCAGAGTAATTCTCTAAAATACCTCATCCTCAAAGATGCAGGAATCCTAATAGGATAAACCACCTCAAGATTTTTTTCCAAGCATGTAACACACTTATTTACTAGAATGATGACACTTAATAACATGGCCCAAACACAACAGGCTTTTAAATTCTTAGCCTCTGGAAGGTATAATCAATGGATTTTTGAGCAAACTTTGCCAACTGAATGCTGTTAGCCAATTGGGGATACTCCTGTGGCGGACCATGGTGAGAGGCATCAGGAAGCCCTGAATCTACTGAACACAGAAGCCATACCTGGGAGATGTGGCCACCTATGACCAGCCTGCTTCCAGTATACACTATTACCAGGATGATTTACCTGGGCAGAATGAGGGCCATTTAAAGAGGGAAGAGGTTTCTGATTCTTCTTCTTTTGTTTTTGGTTTTTTTTTTTTTTTGGAAACACTAGATTGGTTGTTTCCCTGCTGTAAGTACTTTAAATTTTTTAAGCACTGTATGGGGCAAAGGGCCCGTCCAGAATACTAGTGCATAAGCTTGAAGAAGGACCAAAAACGGACAAGTATTACATGGAAGGCAAGTTACAGGCCAGTTTCTCAACATAACAACAAAACATCTTAAACAAAATATTAAGAAACCAAGTCTAGCAATATACAAAAGAGTTAATACACCATCAACAAATTAGGTTTATTTCAAGAATGCAATCTTGATTTAACATGCAAAAGATCAATGTAATTCACCACATTCACAAAATAAAGGAGAAAAATCACATACTCTTCTCAATATATTCAATATAAAACATAAAACACTTGAAAATATTCATCATCCATTTATGTTAAAAACTAGGAATGTAAGGTAAAAATACTGAATGCTTTCCCACTAAGATTGGGAATAAGAAGAGGATACCCTTATTACCACTTCTAGTTAACATCTAAATAGCAGTCCTAAACTGTGCAATTAAGCATTAACAAAGACTTTAGAAAAGGTATTATATTGAGATGACATGGTTATAGATGTTGAAAAAAAAACCCAACCCTATAGGATATCAGAATTATTAAGTAAATTTATCAAAACTCGTGAATATAGGGTTAATGTGAAACTTTAATTTGCTTCATATATTAGCAACAAGCAATTAGAAAATAGTAAACAACAAAAGAATACTATTTTTAATAACATAGTTATCAGAGGAATGCAAATTTAAATCACAATGAGACGCCACTAGACCCTATCAAGGAGAATGACTAAAAGAAAAAACTAAGAATGCCCATCATTGGTGAGGAAATGGAACTTCTGGACCGCCCACTGTGGATGGGAGTTTAAACTGGCGTGAGCACTTCGGAAAAATGTCTGGGAGAAGCTACTGGATACATGCACATCCTAACACCCAGTTATACCACTCCGCAGTATATACTCAAAAGAAACAAAAGCACATGCACCAAAGGACATTTAACCGTTACGTTCCTGAC